TTTAAAATTTAAAATTTAAAATTTAAAATTTAAAATTTGTAATTTAGAATTTAAAATTTAAAATTTAAAATTAGGCATATATTAAATTTGAATTTTTAATAAAATATAGTTATATATTTATATTTTTAAATCTATTAAGATAGAAAGTTTAAATATGATTTTTTTATAATTTCAAAGGGAAAAAATGAATTCAGAAAATAGAGATATTTTAAATTTAAATTTTTAATAACGAGTAAAATTAAATTCTTTGTAAAAATAATACACAAAAAAAAAAATCATTGTAAAAAAAAGACTAAACTTGAGAAATACATTGAGTTTATTAATTACATAAATGCATGTAATTAATTTAATTATAAAAAAATTATTGTTATTATTTAATGGCACATATTATGATTGTTAAATAAAATTAAAGGAAAGTTTTGAAATTTAATGTGAATCATGAAAATATTCTCAATGGTGACTTTTATTTAAAATCCTTCTTATATGCGAAATAAATAATAGAAAATATCAATGGAATAAAAAGTAGAAAAAAAAATGGAAAAATTACTTTAGTAGCGTGAATGAGACCCTAATTCGTGAATCATGAACGCGTTAATAATATTTTTAGTCATGGTCACATGAAAATCAATTTACATTTGTATCCATATAATTTAGAATTTAAAAGTATAAGTAAGGATGATTTAAACATTATACTACAATTATTTTAGAAATTGTGTCATTTAAATCTTTCCAATATTGGAAAGAAGCTAAAATTAAGTTAGGAGGGATGTTTTTTTTGTCTCCCCTCTCCTCTTATCTTTTTTTTTTTTTTTTTAAAAAAAAAAAAAACTTCCCTCCGTCCTCCTTAAACCAAACTCTATGTTAGGCATTTTTTTTAGAAAAAATAACAATTCAATTTTTCATTAGGGAAATGTTAAGAACATGTTTTATTATTGATTTAGATTTTTTTAAATTGATAAAATTTAGTAGGTCTCATATCTTCTTAGACATTGTAATCTACGTCACGTATTAGGTATATTTATACCCGTCCTACAAACGTTCATAAATTAATTAAATATATTTTTTTAAAAAATAAATATACAAAAAAGATCACAAAAATCATGACAGAAATGTCATCATTGTATACAATTTTTTTTCATAATCAGAACTTTTTTTTTTCTCTTTCAATATTGTGTTTCCTTTTCTCCATAATTGATTTTCTATGAATTCAATTCTCGATCATGCTTGGACTGACTCACGATAGAAACCTGCCAAACCTTAATCTCTCCATCAAGAGAACCACTAAAAACCGAAACACTACCATTAGAAGTCTTATTTTGATCATATTCGGGAATTGCCGCCAAGGATTTGACCGGTTTCCGGTGACCGTCGAGGACAGCAAGGCATCCAAACCGTCCATCATAATCGCGCCTCCAAATCCTGACGGTCCGATCAGCGGACCCACTCAGCAGCAAATCAGAGACGTTGACCAAGCACAGTATCGCCTTCTGGTGCCCCCTCAGCGCCCCACTCACCACCATGTGGTTCGCGCTGTCCTCCCTCTCCCATACCAATATGGAACGATCGCACGCGCCCGAAAACAGCACCGAAGCGTCGTCGTTTAACGCCAGCGCGTTCACCGCAGACTTGTGCTTCTCCAGCGTCGCCACCAGCACGTGCCGCTTCTCGTCCACGTGCCTCGCCCACACGCGTATGCGCCTGTCTGCGGATCCCGTGTACACGGTCCCATCGTTAGACACTGCGACCGCGTTCACCGCGTCCTCGTGCGCCCTCACAGACTCCACGCAGCGGAAATCCGAGAGCCGCCATATCTTGAGGGTTCTGTCCCACGAAACGGAGTAGATGGCGCCGTTAGTAACGGCGAGGCCCGTTACGGCGTCGGCGTGCTCGATCCATAAACGCTTGTTGTGGCGGCGGATCGTGACGTAGTTTTTGGGGAGGAGGAAACGGCGGAGACGGTCGTTGACGGTGGGGAGGGTTGTCAACATGCGGTGGTTTTTGTTGTTGTGGTGCCATACGCGGATCTTGGAGTCTTGGTGGGTGGTGAGGATGATGTTTTTGGAGAAGGTGATGGTTTTGATGGAGCCGGAGGAAGTGGAGAGTTTTGTGTCGAAGGTGTGGAGGTTGGTGCATGAGTGGAGGTCGTAGACGTTGATTTGGTGGTCGGTGGCGGCGTAGAGGAGGGTGTCGTTGACGGCGAGGGAGGTGACGGGGCGAGAGGGGTGTGGTGTGAGGGTGGTGAGGCAGTGGTGGGAGACGGAGAAGGTTAGGGTTTGTGGAGAGAGGTTGAGAGAGGGAACGGATGGGAGGGTTTGTATGGAGAGGTTGCTTTGGAGAGAGCAAGTGCTAGTGCTGGTGTTAGAGGTTGTGGAAGAGGGTGCTTCGGAGCTGGTGGAGTGATCGTGATATTGATATGCATGTTTTTGTTGTTTGTGAGGGAGTGAGATTGTTGATGGGTGGGTGGTGGCGACGGTGCAGGTGGCGGAGGAGCATGTGTGAAGCCACGACTGGAACCGCATGATTATTCTGCTTGATTGTGTGATGGGAGAAAAGGGAAAGGTTTGCTTAAGAGGGTGGGAATGGGATGACGAAGAAGCGAAAGAGGATAAGTAAGAGGAGGAGTGAACGATGGGTTCGAGGTTCTTATGCGACGGACCAAGGCATCATTTTTTATTGCATGTTGTATACTGACAGAAGGAGCATTTCCTGTGTGCGGTGTGCCGGATCATCAATCAGAAAACGCCAAAATAATTCATAGCTGGGTTCATTCATGTTTGTCCTTTTCTTCACCTTTTTTTCTTCTATCGCTTGGAAACCTTGCTCTTTTTTAATTGTTCAATGCAATGCACGTCAAATTTATGATTAGCTACTGGAGCATCAATAATATTTTTAGAAATGTTTCTCCCCCTTTCATAAAACTGAATTCCATCACCTTTAAAATATAAAATAAAATAAAACTAATTCAAATTTTACTCGTGAAAAAAATACATGATTTTAAAGGAAAATTTATAAAATCGGTAAGTATTTTGTATGAATAACATTGTTATAAAAAAATGTGATTAAAAAAAAGTGTGGCTCAATTTTTATGAATTTTTGCAAGTTTTATAGTTTTAAAATAGAATTAATTTGTTGTTGTAGGAAGGCCGTCTCTTTGTTGGGAACTGAGTAGCACAGTTGTGGTTGTGGGTTGTGTAGAATACGCGTGGCTTGACTCGCTTCCATATGGATGCCAAAGTCCAAGTTGGCATATTTTACACTTAGCACACATGCAGATACAGTCATACAGTTGAGACGAAAGACCGCAAACTCTTTCGTGTTACAATGACAATGGGTCGGATAGGATAGCTACATGTTTCTTCATCTTCATTTTTGTTTCTTTTTCATATACTATACTAATTTCTGTATGTATATTAGATGATACAAAATTTGTATACTTATTTTCATATTCGTTGATATCAGATATATTTATATTCATTTCATATTCTTTTAAAAATTAATTAAATATTTTTTAAAAAAAATAAAATTTTTATTATAAATTATTAAATTATATGAATTAAATTTATTTAACAAAAACTAAAATAAAATAAAAACTATATAAATATTAAATAATTTCAAAAATAATTAAACATTTAAATTTTAAAATGGATATATATATATATCTAATTTAATAAATTATATATTATTCATATTTATGTCTAATAAATTAAATATTATATTTATTTGTCAATTCCGTTCGCTATGCACAACTGCATTCTTTTTTACAAAAATAAAAAGAAAGACGGTTTTTGTGGTGGTCTTCTTGTTCTTGGTTTCACCAGCAAGGCTAGCTGTACTCATTTATTGAAACAATTGCCAGTTTTTCGTTATGCTAACCGCCAATGAAAATCCCTTTTGAGTTGCATCACACGTGACATAAAAAATTCAAAACTGTAAAGGCAATATGATTTCATCACGGAGATATTCTACTTCAATAATAGGATGACCTTTATTTCAGCTCATATAGGTCCAACACATGAAACACCTCTATAAATAATGTTATCTATTTACAATCTTTTCTTGTGTCACTATAAATTACTAATACTTTTTCTTTCTATAAATATACCTTCAAAATATCACAACATTTATATTATCCTTATTGGTTTAACTAAAGAATTTTTCATGGTTATACTTTATTTTAAGGTTAAAATATAAATTTTAATTGATATAATTTTATTTATTTTATATTTAAATTTTTATAGCTTAAAATAAATATTTTTAGTCTACATATTTATATTTATTAATCATTTTTTGCCTCTACGATTTAAAATGTATTTTTTTAGTCTTTATTTATATTTTTTTAATTTTTAAAATTTTTATTATTACTTTTTTTAACGTTATTTCTTTTGTGTTGAGTTGATAGAAATATTCAATTTTGTGAAAATAAAAAAAAAAGTATCGAAATGATAAATGTTGTTATAAGTGAAGGTAAAAAAAAGGTATGAAACATAAAAAACTTAAAATTTAAAATAAATATAATAAAATAAATTTAACATCAAATATCCAAAATTTAACTAATACATATGTTACATCAACACAAAAAGATAACGTTATAAAAAAAATTAACGAAAGACCAAAAGAATTAAGAAAAATAATAAATATAAAAACTAAAAATAATTGAAAAAGATAAATATAACAATTAAAAATATATGTTTTAAATTATAAAATAAATTAAAAAATATTTTAACTTATTTTTTTATTTATAAAGTCGAATTTGATAATAAAAAAAATTATCACTAAACTGAAGTTGATCCTTGATAACATTTATTTACTTGTAATACCTAACTGTCTTTTTAAATTGTTTATTATCATTCCTCTCATCCTCTCCTTTCTACAAGTCTTTTAATAAATTAATTTATGTAAGAAATTTGATTAACTTTAGTTTGTGTCTATTTTTTTATTGTTTCAAGATAGTAGATTAACTTTATGCATATCATTCTTTAAGTTGTTTACACATCTCATCAATCATATTACTAATTATCTTTTCTCTTTTCCTATTAGTGTGGATACATCTTGGGTTTTTCATATTTTAAATATTCAAATGAGACTTTTTTTTCTTTCTATTTTTTCCCTATTACATTTATTATTTTTATCTCTTTTATATATTTTTTTTTCTCTTTCTAAGGTGTATTATCGCATGTTAGGTGTTTAAAAAATATTTTCTTTGCTTGTTTATTGTATCTTAGCAAGTGTTGGTAATCAATTGTGATTTGTGAGGAATGAAAACTATCTATGGGAAGTGGCGCCTGAGAGCAATGTAGGAAGTAACAAAGTGATAAGGTTACTTTAGTAAAGTAAAAAAATAAATAAAGCATTTCTTCACTATTAAGTTCCGAATCAGGATTTACTTTTATAGTTGCCAAAAAGAAGAAACTTGTGAGAATAATAGGAAGTCCCACAAAACTAATCCATTTAACTTCCTTATACGATAATGATTTTTTTATGGGATTTAGTTATTGTTTCGTTTAATTTTTATTTAAACCTTTATACTATTTTTTAAGAAAAAGGAATATAAAGGTATAATAAAAATTTTCAATATGAAACTAACTAATTAAGTAGAATAAAAGTTATGAATAAAGCATAATAAAAGTTTTTATCATTTGTGTGACAATTGATGAAAGGTATAAATTCGACAAATCTTTTATTTGATATTTTCATTTTCTCCTTTATTACTTTATGTAGAATGAGCCCAAAAACAAGTAAGGTATAAATTCAATTGAAATTGACATCAATAATTATATAAGAAATCATTAGCACCAACCAAATCCAAATGCTTTAACTCATTACTACTTCTAAACATTAGCTATTCATTCTTCCTTTGTTGCCTCCTTAATTTTTTATAAAGAAAATGGCAATGATCCCTCGAAAGATGCAATCTAGGGCTAGTCGCCATATTTTTTCATCATCCAATGATACTACATTGACCAAACATATATGTGCCACTCATGCTCCTGTTGATGGTCTCATTCATATTAGACCTCTTCTCAATGTTGTTCAAGACATTTTTCATTGTGCTGCCTCTCTCACCCATCCCATTGTTGAGGCATATGTGTGTGTTCACTTTCACTTTCTAAAGATTATTATATAGTCTTGCATCATTTTATGTCCATAATCTTAGTTAATTTGTTGGGATACAATCAAAGTTTTGCATCAATAAAACAATAGGAGAAATATGAGCTTATAAACACATGAATGTCTTCATTGCTATGAAGTCTTTCGGGTAATAATAAAGACAAATTCACGATAATTTAAACTCGAATTGGATAATATCATACTCATATAAAAATGTGTGTGAATCCTTATGCACAACATAATCACTATGTATCGTTAAAAAGTTAATAAAACTATGTTAGGTGAAGACTAATTACATAATAATCTCTTCAATCCGTTTGCATTTTGCTTCTTGATTAACTTGGTTTCTAATTGAGGCTGTTTTGAAAATTTACACAGGGACAACAAGGGAAAATGAGTTTCATGAAGGACAATATCCACCAATCTGATGTAGCTGACCTACAAGATATATTGTACCACACAATCAACAAACTTTCTTGCGAGGTTTTCTTATTCCTAATAATAAATTTTTCTTAGAATCATAACACTGTAACTTATTCATGATTTCATGTTTGAGTCATAGATATGTTGCAAGTGTTCATATGGAGAAGATGTACATGCCACAACCATGGGAATACTAGGCATGCTCTCAAGTTATTCATGGGATGCAAAGGTGGTGATAGCATTAGCATCATTTGCAACCAACTTTGGGTTGTTTTGGTTGGTGGCTCAACTTTATACCACCAACCGTCTTGCTAAGTCTGTTGCAATGTTGAAGCACATCCATCAAACACTGGAACAAAGGGAGGATTTAGGATTGAAGTTCGAAACAATCAACAACCTTCTCAAGGCAACGTTGGATGCAACCAATTACATAGTCCAATTTCATGAGCTTCCCTCTCAATATATTGACCCTGAGGCACCAGAGATGTTTATTGCCTCTACTCTTATTCCTAGTGCTGTCTATTGGACCATTCGAAGTATTGTGGCTTGTGCATCGCATATTTTAGGCATAACTGGCTTGGGTCAAGGGTATGCCTCCATTGTTAATTACACATTATAATCATCACAACTTTATCTTAATAACTTTTGTTGATCTTTCTCTCTCTCTCTTTTAAGCCAAAAAATCTTTATCAATACTTTCTTGTTTTATTATCAATATTATTAACTTTCCTTTGGTTGATTTTAGATACGTTATATCAACATTAGAATCTTGGGAGCTTTCTAGTTTGGCCCATAAGCTTGATAACATAAATAGCCACCTTCGAAAGCAACTCGTCATTTGTCAACAACTTTTAGGTAAGTCAAACTAAGCATCTGGTTACCTTATATATGCACTTCAAAAGAAGAAATGTCTAGTTTTTCTTCGTGTAAAATATCTCTAATATATTGTGCATGTTATGTGTGATTCAGATGAGAATAAACAGAGAGAAGTATTTGATTCACTTTGGATCCTTTTTGAGACACCCCACCAAGATAATTTTAAAGTTCTCAAAGCTTTGATTTCCAGCAAGGATGATCCATTACCACTTCTTGATGGTTCTTCCAAACAAAGGGTTAATCATGAATCCCCTCTCGTATTCACTCTTTAGTATATGCATATATTATATTTCATCATATATCTTCATCAATTTGATCTTTAATGTAGATTTATTAACAATGGTAAGAATGCAATCTTACCACATTAATTTAAATTGCCTTTGTTATAATTCATAATCATTTTTTATAGTTAATTCAAAACTCATAACATTTGGTAAAGGACCCAATCAAGGGAATGCTATAATATTTACATATAGAGGTCCTGTTCTAACCTTTTAATGTATTTGTCTTTAGGTTAGCATTGAGGTATTGAGGAAGAAAATGGTGTTACTCTACATAACAGACCTACATAATGTCTCTGAACAAGAGATTGTGATTTTTGAACAAATGTACCTAGAGTCACGTGAGGATTCATTCAGGGTAGAGAGTCAATACGAATTGGTTTGGATTCCAATTGTGGACAAGGCAATCCCATGGTCTGAAGTGAAACCAAAGTTTAAAAAACTACAATCAATGATTTCGTGGTACTCACTTTTTGACCCTTCTCTTATGGAGTCTGCAACCATTAGGTACATTAAGGAGGTATGGCATTTCAACACGAAGCCAATCCTCGTAGTGTTGGATCCACAAGGGAAGGTAGTGAATCTTAATGCAATACCCATGATGTGGATTTGGGGAAGCTTAGCATATCCTTTCTCGAGCTCAAAGGAAGAAGCACTATGGAATGAGGAAACATGGGGGCTTGCACTATTGGCTGATACAATTGATCAGTCACTTTTGGATTGGGTCAGTAAAAACATTCTTTTATCTTTCTTTTATATATGCATATATGATCATGCAAACTAGTACTATAGTGTAATATAAGTCCAACTCGAGGAAGAAGATGTCTATAAAAATATCATAGAAAAAGAAAAAATAAAATAAAAAATAAAATGAATATTCTAATTATCATATAACCTACTGTATGATTCTTTTTAATTTTGCATTTAAGTCTAATTTTTGTACATGACTTCTCATGTAGTAGTTTTCGGTCTAAGATGTGGTTAACATTTTCAAATATAATGAAAATAATGACAATCTTTGGTCTTAAACTTATTTTTCTTTATTTGATGTAATAAATTTAAAAAATTGTTACATTGTATTGGTATTCATCAATTTTGCTATAGCACATCTCATTATTGACATCTTACAGATCTACCAACTCATAAAATTTAAGATAATTTTAAATTATACAAAAGAAAATTCTTTATATTTATTTATTTTATTGAAATTAATAAAGCTTGGATCATGCATTATTGTAGATGTCGGAAGGCAAATATATATGCTTGTATGGAGGGGGTGACATGGAGTGGATCCGCCAATTCACAAGCACTGCACATTCATTGGCGAAAGCTCTGCAACTACCACTAGAGATGATTTATGTGGGGAAAAGTAATCCAGGGAAAAAAGTTCAAGAACTCAACAATAACATACAAAAAGAAAATCTGAGCAACGTACTTCCAGACCTCGCCATAATTTGGTTCTTTTGGGTTAGGCTAGAGAGCATGTGGCAATCCAAATCACAGCAGAATAAAACAGTAGAGAACGACCATATAATGCATGAAGTTATGAGAATCCTAACCTACGACAGTGGTGACCCGGGATGGGTCGTAATGAGTCAAGGTACAGGAAAAATGATACAGGGCATGGGAGATGCATTTTTAAGGTGCTTGTATGATTATGAACAGTGGAAGGACAAGGCACAAGATAAAGGACTTTTACCAACAATGGATGATTATATAAAAGAAATCCAAATCCCACACCACTGCAATCGCTTGATACTACCAGGAACTAGTGGCGGAATACCAGACACAGTGACCTGCGCTGAATGTGGCAGAAAAATGGAAAAGTTCTACATGTATCGTTGTTGCAACGAGTGAGAACCTAGCTTAATCACAACATGAATCTGTTAGATTAATAAATCCTAGCTTACTTAAGGTCTTCAATTCAAGTGCTTGACATAAACATATGTTTTCATTGTCATAGCTTATGTACTAAACTAGTTCAAGTCATTTCTCCTATATATTATGTAAAGTGCTCTGCCAATTGATGACTTATAATAACATGAAAATTAGTAACATGGGTTTTTTTTTTTTAATACAAAACTATTCTACAAATTAGTAATTACACAATTATACATCATTGAGGTGTGGATTTGATAGCACTGGAAACACAGTTCCATATATTACCAAGAGTGGCAATGACATGAGGCACAAAAGCCCCAATTCCTTTTAGGAAAGCACTTGAGGCAAGCCCAATTGCAAAAGTTTCGACAAACCCAGGCTTAGAATCAAGCTTCATGTCAAGAACAATGAGTCTATTGCTGATTGCATCAATCTTCCTAGAAGACTCGGTCAATAGCTTATCGTGTTTACCTTTAACAGAGGATACAACTGAAAACAGCGCCTTCTAAAGGTCCTCAATAACCTTCATGGACGCTTCTTAAGTCCATTCCCTTAGACTCACAATGGAATATCAGCTGCTTCGCTGTCGAAAGCTTCATTTCTTTTCAACGATTTTGGTCCAACCTTCGGTAACGTTATACTGGCAGATTCCATTTCTGCACTGTTACCCTTCTTCAGTCATACATTCATTACATCATCAACCTACCACACAATGTTTAGCTAATAATTATTGTTTATTGCAATAGTTCAAATTCTCATTTTCCGTTTCTCAATTTCAATAATTAATTTCATTAAATCGTCATTTATGACACTATTTAATTATTCAGAAACTGAAATTGCGATAAATATGTAATGAATTGTAATTTGTATGTACCGCTAGAGACAGGTAGCATGGTTTAGTCCAGAGAAAATTACACCACGCCGTTTAAAACTGGTTATTCGAGACAAATTTATTTATATATGCTTCGAAAACAAGAACATCCCTAATGGAGAATAAGGAGGGTTCACCAGAGGAAGCAACAAGAAAATCAAAACATGACCTTTAAACATAATATGATAGAAATAACACGTATCTGTTTAAAAAATGCCAACGCTAAAATTGGTATACGCTTTAATTGACATGTCCTTCAGTATTGGAAACTGATAAAGAACGCAACTCCTATCAAAAGTGAAAATTGCAGAACACATAGTTCAAAAATAAAAAAGAAGAGTGAGCGTGTGTTTGGATTCGTGTATTGAGTTATGTTTTCGAACAGAATCACGTCAATTTGATGAGAAGCAAGTAATATTTGCTTTTGATTTTCACGTTTTTTACGCGATTCAGATGCTGTTGACGCGGAACCAAATACACAGTGAATTTTAAAGGAGAAAACATACTAGAAATGTAAGGAAAAAGTTAAGCCAGACATTTTTTTTTCTTCTAAAAATTCTTATAAAACCAAAAGATTTTTTTAAAGTTATTATTATTATTTTTTTAAAAGTTTTTATTTTTTATTTTATATATTTATATATAAGAAAAAGGACTTAAAGAAAGGCTCCCTTAACCTCGAGTAACTTATTGTAAGCTTTTTAGTAAGTTAGTGAAGTGCCATATACACACATTGCAAATTATGGTTTTTAGATATTTGTAAATTATTATTAAAATGAAATTTATTAACTAAAGTAATTTTTACACACACACGTTACAAATTATAGTTTTTTAAAATATTTTAAAATTATTATTAAATAAAATTTATTAACCAAAGTAATTTATCATATTTTTAAAATTATTATTTTCAATATTTACATTTTATTATTTTATTACCATTAATAAGTTTAAATAAGAGATTAATTTTACACTATTTTTTATTAGAAGAAATAACTATTTTTAAATGAAATTAAAGTCTTTAAACTTTTAACAAAAAAAAATTAATATAAAAATATTTTTTTATTTAAAATAAATAAATAATTGACAAACAATTTTTTTTAAGTACTTATTTTTAACTTCATTTAAAAATATTTTTTTAAATAATAAACTTGAGACTGATACTGATTGAAAATAATGACCGAGCCGAGCCTCGTGTAAGATGGGCCACAGGGTAAGCTCGAGCCCAAACAAGTTGTGGATCACGACATGACATTCTCGTTCCATCCAGAAGAAGAAGCTGAAGAGGGTATAGTAGAGATTTGATTCAACGAAAAAGGAGAACCTCACCTGAAACTAAATCGAAGCAGAGGAGAAGAAGGAACGAAGATGGTGAAAGTTGCGACCTACTTCGCGATGACGCTGGGAGCTTTCGTCTTCTGGCAATCCATGGACAAGGTCCATGTCTGGATCGCTCTCCGTCAAGACGAAAAGGTTTATTCCCTTTTCTTCAAATTTCTTTCTTCCTTTTCTCTCAATTCCCTCCTCCAATTTCACTATCCGCCACAAAATAACCCTAGATATAATCCTATAAATGATTATTTTAATTTTATACGTAACCTAACTGAAATTAACTAATGCGGAGATATTTAACCAATGTTTCGTGTAATTTGATCTAGCTGCGCTGTGTCTATTTTTTTTTTCTTTTACTTTTTACACCCTCATTCTGTATCGTAATCTGTCTCAGCAAGAGAGGTTGGAGCGGGAAGCGGAGATCAGAAGGGTTAGAGAAGAATTATTGAAGCAGCAGGCCAATCAGAAGGATTCTCTTTCTTGAATAGGAAAATGTTGTAATTTTGCTACCTTTTGCCATGTAATTTCCCTTGCTTTTGTTTTTACAATGCAATGTCTTGTGCTCAAATAAAATTTGGTACTCGAGAGCACTACAAATTTAATTGCGTGGATTTCTAATTTGTTCCTTTACACATGTGCTTGTTTCATAAAATGCTACGAATCAGTAATTGTTGGAACGGACACATTACTCAGGTTATGAAGCTGATATTAAGGAAGTAGATTGTTTGATTCGGTCATACCCGAACCTCTTATTCTTCTTTGCAAGTATCAAATATGTGCAAGTATGAAATTTGGAATTCAACTTAGTAGCGTATCACGTGTTAAAGTGACAGGAGTAGAAGTCTCTAAACTCCTTAGTTCTTTTATTTGACTGTGATCCATAATTTATTTGCTGCTTCTGCTTCTCCTGAATATAGTCTTGCGTTGCCCTACAATCCCCTCATTCTTTGTGGTATATTTAGATATACAAGTACAGTTCGATAGATTGGCCTGCTTAAAAATAAATTGTATTGGGGAGAATTAGTATCAAACCATTGGCTGCAGCCTTTCTTTCAATCTCTTTCCTGTTTTTCTCTACAGAACTTTGAGGTTAAATTGATGAGTTACGAAGAAGTGGCAATATTAACCAGAATAGGCAAGTGGCAACATGATGTTTTACATGCTTAACTCTTTCTAAGGTCTTGATATTATTTCAATTGTAGGAAAATGGTTAGAAGTTGAAGATCTTCTTTTTGGTTCTAGCTGTCTAGAATAGATGATTTTAAACAGAATACTGAATATTGGAATGCTATTATTGAAGCTATGGCTGAGCATCACAGCTGCCACTCTTTACAGGGAACTGATAACATCACATGAATAGTGGCCGAATTGACATAGACAGCACTGCTGTACAAACAAGTGGCAAAAATGTGATTCTTCCACCCTCTCCACCTCTCTTCGATCAGTAACCCATTTTTAGGGTTACTTTTATGATTTCAATTTTTTTTCTTCAGAACCCTTTACTTTTTGACAATACGTAGTTAACTATTTCCATTGATCTTCAACCCTTGTGTTTTCTGTCACTCTTCCAGCTATCCATGCATTTTCTAGCCAAGGTTAGTGCACCTTGGTTCACATTCTCGGTTCTGGCCTGCCTCTGTTTACACTATGCAGATCTGTTCTGTCCTTCCTCTGCACTGTTCAGAGAATCTTATGGTTTGAGTAACTGTCCCAATCTGTGTTACAGTCCTAGTACGTGTTACAGAAGTGTTCATCGAAAAAGTCGATGACTGTTTTATTTAGTTATGCATTACATATATGATGATTGTGCTTTTAAACTTTGACTTTTGATTATTAATGATCAAAGTCTTTAATTTTAATTTTCTTTTTTATAATTCTTGAGCTTATATGTTACATGTGTTTAGTATAAATTACTTGCATATTGTATCTACTATATTTGGCATACCATTCGTCCTTTTATCTGCTATGGTATTATTGCATTTTTGGAGTTGATTGGTGCAGATGGATTGCTACAAAAGAACCCGAGAGTAGTACTCTCAGCTGCTAAATTTTAGATTTATTTAATACTATTTTAAATTCAATCCAAAATCTGTATTGTTCTGCATACATGTTAAAGTTACAATTTAATTGGAGTGAGTTGTTACTCGTGAGCTAATGTTAATATTGATTCTAGAATAGGGACACACTACCTTCCTGTATGTTATATTTATATGTAGTCATAAGTTAATTGAGTTGTCTGCTTTTCTCTTGGTGGTTAATGTTGTGGACTTGTGGTAGGGTAACTACATTCAAATCATTAATGGAGTCAGCTTTTTTTGGAAACCTATTGGATGAAATCACGTATTTGTAATGAATCTTCCTAGTTTCTGTGGAACAAGTAAAAATAAGTTGTTTGGTTGAATTCTCTGAACAGGTACTGTTAGCATTTTGCCACTGAATATTTCATTCCTAACCCCCACAAGTAGTGATTAGTGACAGAGGTGATATCTAGCTCTCTCGTCGCCTTGTATAAGGCAATCACCATGTGCAGGGGTGGAATATGATGGATAGCTAATGTCTATAATGTTGTTGCCTTGCATATTGTAGTTACCTTGCCTATTGCTAGGATGGAATGTGACGGATAACCATGTCCATAGTGCTTGTTAATTCTGAGAAAGGAAAAAGGATTGCCTTTTTTCAAAATGGGGATGGGAAATACTCAAAAACACACCAGTTTCCATCTTCTGGCCTCTAGGTTATGGATTTTTTCGCCATCTCCCTCCCTCTCTTCCCCCCACCAGGTTTATATTACGCTTAGGCTTAGGGCATATGAAATACTCTTTATTTGTAACTATGGTGCTTCCCTTGCTGTGTCCATAAATAGTAGAAATAGATAAGGAGAATATATCCAATTCATTGATACATGCTGTGCTTTACCGTGCAATTCCTGAAGTACATGACACTGTTGTAGTGGTAGTTTACTTTTCTCCGAATCAACTTAGTGGGACATAGTTTTTTTTGTCGTTCCCGGAATCAACTGTGGTACTGGTTATACTTTCCATGGATTGTTAACCAAATCGACAATGTGAAACTATAAGTTTCAGGGTGGCCGTATTATTATAAGGGCGTAATATTATTATTTTTTAATTGCTCCTTTACGCATAAGTAATTTCTTACATAACTTTTATATTTCTTATCATTAACAGCTTCTTTATTTTTTTCTCTTATATACAACAATAAAAGTTATGAACAATTTTCCTTATTAATGCGAGTTGCACATTATTTATACTCAGTTTACTTTTGAAAAATATTATACTCAGTTTACTTATGTCTCGGAAACAATTGAAACCCTATTTCAAACATTGAGGATATGATAGACAAATCATAATTTCATTGAAAATCTTTAAAAAGGTTGATGATTTGTTTTGCTCTTGCATAGGATTGTCTTTTGTTTTAATATAAACCTTTTCCGCTACCAAAAAAAAAATTGAAAATTCAACTTCAAGTAACCTTAGACTACAAAATTTGAGGAGTTTGCGTAACTCCTCGCTGGGTGAATCGTATCTTTTACTATTTAAAATTGTTTTAAGTTTTTAAAATCCGAATTTTTCTTATTAATGTAACATTTTAAAAAGTAAATAATTATATATATTGGGAGAGGCCACGTAAATTTTATTTTATATTCAAGTAAAGCTTAAATGTTGCAACTGTAAAATAATATCAATTGAAAGTAACCATTTTAAGCATCTTATTAGTTGTTAGACCTTAAAGACTTTGAAAATTAATATGTACACAAAAATATGCATAATATGAAAGCTGCAACTGTAAAAAAAATAAATTGAAAGCAACCATTTTAAGTAACTTATTAGTTTTTTTTTTGGTGAGAAAACGGGGCTTAAAAGCCCAAACTAAAAACCACGGTAAAAAGATTGCAGTGTCAACAAATAAAGAAAAAACAACCCCGTGAGGGGAATTATTAAAGATCTGAAATTTATCTTGAATATCGAAACTGAGGTTTGCCATTGCATCATTCACTTGGTTAGCTTCTCGGTAGATATGCGAGCAATTCAGATCTTGTTCCATATCAGCCAACTCTACAATAGAATTAATCAAGGGTGCACAGCTATGAGAAGCACTACAGCCTTCATTGAGAAATTTAATAGCAAGGCTAGAGTCTAATTCTACAATGATATCCTCTTTAAAACCTTTCTCCTTAATGATCCGAAGTCCGTGAAAAATCGCCCATAACTCTGCTTGGAGAATAGAACACTGACCAAGCTTACAGGAAAATCCCATTATAAAACCTCCCAAATAGTTCCTAATAATACCTCCACAACCCACCTTCCTTCCAACACCACGCACTGCTCCGTCACAATTGAGTTTGATGGAACCTAGGGGAGGAGGTTGCCATCTAATAGGAGATGATCCATAGGGATCACCTAGAAATTTTGAAGAAAAAGTAGAACACTCCTTAGAGGCTCTACTAATTTCCAAACATCTGCGCTTGATAGACACTACCAAGCAATAGGGATTCACGTGATGCTGATCAAAGATGAGTGCATTCCTAGCTTTCCATAACTTGTCAATTGTAACAGCAAAAATGAGTCTCCAATTTTCATTTCTACACGTAAGGTTGCTTACAATCCAAGTTCCCAAGTTACTATTAATGAAATTAGGAGGTATTCCACCATTAACTAAATGTGACCAGACATTTTTGACAACAACACAGTCTCTTAAAGCATGGAGACCGGTTTCAGGTTCCTGGTGGCATTTGGGGCAAAGGTTATCCAAAGCTAGGCCTCTTCTCGCTCGAGCAGTATTAGTCAACAAGCTATTATGAGCCGTTTTCCAAAGCATCAATTTTATACGTTCAGGTCCCTTCCACCTCCAGATAGTTGAGAAAACAGCTTGGTTACATTCAATCTGGTTATGATCAAGACAAACATACGCAGACTTGACAGAGAATTCTCCATCAGAGGAACCTAGCCAAGCTAAACTATCTTTCTTGGGTCACGAATTGGTGTAACATGGCTACGTAAATGGTCCAAAATATTAACCGGTAGAAGATTATGCAGATTATCCCAACAAACTTGATCATCTCATTTTGATCTTTTCCTAACAATTACACTCATATCTTCCAATATACCCAGTTATATGCTCGAAATACCATATCCACCAGGAAAAAAAAAAACACACACACACACATTATGCTTGCTTCGGAACGAAATTACAGAGCCAGCGTGTCATGAGGAAATAAGATAGCATAATGCATCAAAAGCGGTGTGGGCAGGGATCAAAGTAAAAACAAAATTATATTATATACTCATCCATGACCATTTAGATGATATTTGAAAATTGAATAAAAAATTATCATATGACCATCTAATTTTTTATTACTGTTCTCTTCAATTTATATTGTATACTCATCCAGATGGCGTCGGGGGGTGGAGGCGCTCGACGATGGAAGGCGCAACGGGGGAGGCTTTGTGTTTTCTTGCCACGTCATCTAATAAATGCATTTGGAAAAATTTTACGGTACCCATCTTATTTAAGAGGGTACCGGTACAGTTTTTTATATTTTATATTTTTAATAATTTATTTAAATAATATTTATGATATTTTATTCTTTTAATTTTTAAATTATTTAGTCATTTTATTTTTATTTTATATATTCTAATTTATTTGTAATAATATTATTACACTACCAAGCAATAGGGATTCACGTGATGCTGATCAAAGATGAGTGCATTCCTAGCTTTCCATAACTTGTCAATTGTAACAGCAAAAATGAGTCTCCAATTTTCATTTCTACACGTAAGGTTGCTTACAATCCAAGTTCCCAAGTTACTATTAATGAAATTAGGAGGTATTCCACCATTAACTAAATGTGACCAGACATTTTTGACAACAACACAGTCTCTTAAAGCATGGAGACCGGTTTCAGGTTCCTGGTGGCATTTGGGGCAAAGGTTATCCAAAGCTAGGCCTCTTCTCGCTCGAGCAGTATTAGTCAACAAGCTATTATGAGCCGTTTTCCAAAGCATCAATTTTATACGTTCAGGTCCCTTCCACCTCCAGATAGTTGAGAAAACAGCTTGGTTACATTCAATCTGGTTATGATCAAGACAAACATACGCAGACTTGACAGAGAATTCTCCATCAGAGGAACCTAGCCAAGCTAAACTATCTTTCTTGGGTCACGAATTGGTGTAACATGGCTACGTAAATGGTCCAAAATATTAACCGGTAGAAGATTATGCAGATTATCCCAACAAACTTGATCATCTCATTTTGATCTTTTCCTAACAATTACACTCATATCTTCCAATATACCCAGTTATATGCTCGAAATACCATATCCACCAGGAAAAAAAAAAACACACACACACACATTATGCTTGCTTCGGAACGAAATTACAGAGCCAGCGTGTCATGAGGAAATAAGATAGCATAATGCATCAAAAGCGGTGTGGGCAGGGATCAAAGTAAAAACAAAATTATATTATATACTCATCCATGACCATTTAGATGATATTTGAAAATTGAATAAAAAATTATCATATGACCATCTAATTTTTTATTACTGTTCTCTTCAATTTATATTGTATACTCATCCAGATGGCGTCGGGGGGTGGAGGCGCTCGACGATGGAAGGCGCAACGGGGGAGGCTTTGTGTTTTCTTGCCACGTCATCTAATAAATGCATTTGGAAAAATTTTACGGTACCCATCTTATTTAAGAGGGTACCGGTACAGTTTTTTATATTTTATATTTTTAATAATTTATTTAAATAATATTTATGATATTTTATTCTTTTAATTTTTAAATTATTTAGTCATTTTATTTTTATTTTATATATTCTAATTTATTTGTAATAATATTATTATATATTTAAATAGTTTAATTTTAATAATTTTTTAAGTATATTTTTATCTTTTCACTTAAAATTTTTGAATTTTTATATTTTAATTTTAATAATTTTTTAAGTCTATAATTTTATCTTACTTTTTATTTTATAAGTATAATTTGGATTATTTATTTTATAATTAAATTAATTTTTTTAAAATCTTTTATAAGTTTACATAGAAAAATGTATTGAAACTCCTTCATCTTTGGGAGGTACCGTAACAACTCTTTTAGAGAAATTTTATGATACCCATCTTATTTAAGAGTGAACACCCATTATGATAAATCTCCGATCCCTAACTAATAAAGTATTAGATGACTATATAAAGTTAAAAAACTGAACACCCATCATGATAAATCTCCGATCTCTAACTAATAAAGTATTAGATGGCTATATAAAGTTAAAAAACTAACTCAAGTGATAGAAAGATTTCTAATTTTTGAGCACCAATATCTATTTACATTAGGGCCTGTAACAAAAAAAACGCAATATTAATATTAAAAAAAACATATTGAACCTGCATTTGCATTTTGTGTATACCTACATTTAAACTACACGATTCATGCTTGCTTATTTCATTAAAATTGCATTACACGTATACCTACACCTATGGAATTACTGATAACAAAGCCAAAAATAAAATAAAATCATCTTCCTATTAAGACTCAAAAAATAAAATAAATAAATATAAAATGATTTTAATTAAAACCAAAATATAATTCAAAATAAAAAATAAAAATATCCTAATTAATTTCCTTGTACTGCATATTAATGTGACACAATCTACCATTGTCTCTTTAATTCGTTGATTCTTGCCTTTAATTAATTCCAATCAACTCTTTTTTATTCAAAGATAAGAGTCTCCTTTCCTATTAACAGAATAATTCTAAAATAGTAAATAAACTATAAAGATAAAAATGTATAAAATAAAAGTTGTAAAATGTATAAAAAAAACCATAAAGATAAAAACATATTTAATTGTATAATAATTTTTAAAATTGTTTTCATATATTGATTTATAAAGAGAATATATATTAAAAATGAAAAAGGAATAAAGAATAAAAATAATTATAAATAATAACTGTAAATTTTTAATGTTCAAATAACGAAATTCCTTGAGAGCGATTAGGTATATTGCACATTCACCCAAAAATAACTATATAATATATCCTTGAACGCCCTTGGTTTGTCTTTTTTCTGCATTACACTTCTACTATTAGTAAGCATGTCATGACTCATGAGAATGTGGAGCAATAGGAAGGATCATTGTTTGGAGTTTTGAGCAATTATTGGAAATGGCTCTGTTAGTTCCTTCCCATCTCGCGCCGGTGAAAACACCACTGGCATGTACTGCTCCATCTCGTATGGAAATTTCGAGTTCTTGAAATGTTCCTTCAAAGCTTCCAATCCCTTCACAAATAAAAATTAAAACAGCAAATTATCAATGAGAAATATTAAACTTAAAGAAAAAGAAAAAAGAATAAGAATGTGTGTTGTATTAACTTTATGGCTTATTTAAAAAAATTAAGATGAATGCAATACTATGAATTAAATTAATTTTTAATATTTGTAATTAGTTAATTAATTCTTATTAAAAAGTCCAGCAAGAATAAAGAATAATGAACTAAACCCATTAAACAAGAGGCCACAAATTAAAATTTTATAATTTTTAAGAAATTCCAGTCGATAACAAAAGTGTTATGATAAAATTTATAATATTTCTTTACGTTGAATGATAATGAATATTTTTTTTTCACGAAAACGAATTTTAAAATGTGTTGGAAATAATTAAAAAAAATGAACGTGTACCTGAACTCTGGCATAGGTGACCTCGCATATTTTTCTCGAATTGAAGAGCTCCCATGGTTGAAGATGGAAAGCCTTATACAGCCTCAGGGTTGCCTCCGGAGACGTCATGTTCACGAACCCATATCCCACATTGCACTTATTGCTGTTTTAACGAGAAGAATTAATAAATAATAATAATAATATTAATATTAATATTAACGTATGGGAAGAAAGAAGGAGGTTAAAGGAAAAGTAAAATACTTGAAATCAATGGGAAGGTACACAAAATCGTAGGATGACAAAATCTGGTCACTGCCATTAGCAATCTTTTCGTTGCAATGAATGCAGTGCTTGTCCAACATGTCCAATAATAGCTTCTGGCTGCAATGCAACAAAAGGAAGGTAAAAAATAGTCACACACTATATACATTTCAAACATTGTAGAAGCCAAGTTAATTACTAAGCAAACCTGTACTTGTTGGGTATGTTTTTGATCATCACAGTGGTCCTAGACTCCACCCTAGCAGCATCTTCCTTAATTAGAAACCGAACCTCATGCTTCTTAGCTTCCTTTCCCCTCCAATAATGCTTGCTTTGTTTCTTAACTCAATTTCTCTCACCCAAATTCAACGAACCCCTCGCTACTTCAACATCATTTACCTTATTGTCGTCACTTACCTCAGTACGAGGAACAAGTTGAGGCCCTAATTTGGACATGGAGAGGCTAGACGACGTAGCCCTTCCGTCGCTAAATTCAGCAACCACTTGTCTCCCATGAATTTCCTTACTGTTCATGTGTTCCAAAGCCTTAGCCGCGTCTCTCATGTCTAAGAATTCCACCAATATTGGGTCCTTTTTCGACGAGGAATGTCTTATTTCCTTCACGGGACCTATATTTTAAGTAAGCCAAAGGAATTAATTAATTAACACGTGATGACAAAATGGACTCATGATATATATATACATCAAATTTTTCAATAGCCACAACCACAACACAATACAACACATGCATCTCTTTATATATTAACCAAAATAGTAACCACAAATTTTCGGATCTCACTTCATACTAGAAAAACTCATAGAAAAGTAATATATAAATTAATATACCGAAAGCTTGGAAGGTTTCTCGGAGGGTGACGGAATCGAGCTCCGAATCCAAATTAGAAACGAGGAGAGTCCCTTGGCTATGCGGTGGAGGAGCGGTGTAGTGGAGCCACGCTGTGCCGGGCGGCGAGGGGAGTATCAAGGAGGCGTGGTGGTGGTGGTGGCGGAGCCATGCGTGGTAACGAATGGCCGTGAAGGGAGGAGCGAGATAGTAAAACGTCGGCGTTTGGGGTGGGCGGTTAGGGTTTGTAGGCCTGAACTCCTCTGCCGTGGGGTCTAATAAGCTTCCCATGGATCACTGAACTGTGTTGTGAGTGTGTCTTTCAGAAGCAGTGCAGTGAAGAAGAAAACGGTGGAATTGGAATGCAATCTTTTTGTTTTTCTTCCTTCCTTTCAACGGCAAACTTCAATGGACTCTGTTTTTTCAGTTTTCGTCTTTGCCGTTTAAATATTCGGTATTCTACTACAACAAAATTACTGTACTGCCCTGCCCTGCCCGTTTCAGTCCAGGAATTATCTCAAGTGACTTCACTTTGCATTGGATGTGGAGAATTACGTTAGGACACACGAACAAACATCCTCTTCATTAATGTTGTCATTCTACAATGTTGATCACCTTTCACTAATTTTGAAACATTTTTTTTAACCTATTCCATGAGTAAAGCTTGTCTCGCTATATTTTCCTGTGTAAAAATCATGGAATGATCTCAATCAAAAAGAAATCATAAACATAATAAAAATATCATCATTTTTTTTACGAATAAATAAAAAACTAATATTGATCATGGGTTGTTTATGAATTATGATTAGCTGAAGGACAAAGTTTCAAATATGAAAAACTGTGATAGATGGAGGATCGTATTGTGTACAGTTATTTGAAACTTATGAAAGTATAAAAGTAAATGTGTATTTAAAGGAACGGGTTTTGATAGATTAAAACTATTATATGATATAATGTCCATATCTAAGACTTGGTAGAGATTCAATAAAAAAATTGATTTTAACTTTGACCAATGGACAATAAAATCCTAAAGCTTGCAAATGTTCTACCATTAGCTTAGGAGGGACATTTATTGTTATTGACGGTGTATAGGTACAGATTGTAGGAGTAGCAAATTTAATAGTATTTTTGTGTAAAATCAATTATGATTGTAAAGTATCCATTTTAGTAGTAAATATTATAAGGCGATTTTTGTTTGTAATATGAATGAGTTACTTAGAGGAAGATGATATGTTTTGATAATTACATGAGAGATACTCATGTGTGTAAATAAAAATTGTTTGGATCGAGTACCCTTTTTATCCTTTATCCTTCTCATTCAATAAAATTATTTTTTGTTGTCTAAAAAAAATAATACTAATATTTTTTAATTATTCATCAGGTTTATTTTTCATGTAATTTTTTTAATCTATATTTATAATTTTTTAATATTAATTAAATTTTACAAATCACAACTTGTACAAGTTTAAAAAAAATTGCATTCTATAAATTTAGAATGACTACTGTTTCAAAATGGAAATATTAATATTCAAGCTTAAAAAATTAAAGAATGTATATAGTTGTTTTTTTTAAGACAAAAGACTTTTAATGAATTTTCACATAAGACAAAAACCTCTTAATAGTTAACAATATAAATTTTGTTATATCAGTAATATATGAAAATCAAATACATAATATATAATGTAAAATTAATTTAAAATAACATAAAATTATATTTTAAATCATGTTTTTTTTTAAAATATATAAAATATTAAAAAAAATATAATTATTATAATATTTTCATTAGTATTTATATAAAAGTTAAAAACTAAAAATAAGAATAAATCTTTACATAATATTTAATATAAATACACATCTAACGTAATAGTATTTATGAATATTCACGTGTTTTTTGACATTGAAAGAAACATATAAAGAAATATAATAATTTGAGATGATAAGAAAAACGAAATGAAGGAAAAATTATGAATTGAATGTATATTCTCTGCGCGGTTATTGATACACCATTCCTCTTAAAGTATTTGAATGACTTACTTAGGATACCGCTTTGTCTGCCGTACTATAGTTTCCCTTTTCTAGCCTTGCCCTTTCATTTTTTTTCTTTGCAAAAAAGGAAAAGAATAACATGATGACTTTGTCTGTTTAAATATTTTTTTCTTAAATATTTATAGAAAAATTAAAATACTTTTTTACGTTAGATAAATCTAATATATGTATAAATTAAAATTAAAATTCTGAAGAAGTTAATAAAACAAAAGTTCCACAAATTAATATATACATAAGTTAGTTTATAAAAAAAATATTTTATTTTATTTTCTTATTTTTCTTTTCAACACATATTTTTAAAAAATTTGCACAAAGGGGCCATAGTGAAAGATAAGGTTGGGTCAAGCCGCACAAAAATGATAATTGAATTGCTGTGGTACGCCCCACTTTTTCCCCACGAGTTTATTATAATTGTGATTTGTGAACACACCCTCATTTGAATGTGGTATGAGGTTTCACTCCATTTCTCCTACTGCCAACAACTTCCCTTTATGTTGCATATGTTATATGTATAACTGTTTTTTTTATATATTTTTTTCTTATTCGCATCATATGAATTAATTGTATCACATTTCTAGGTAAGTTTTAAAATAATTAGGTACGACGTAGTTTTGAAATTTTTACCATATACTCCACATGTACAGGGTAAGTAAAACCCTACACGCATTGATTAATTTCCTGATCTGCACAAATTTATTTTACATGCATGCATCTGGTATATATATACGACATTACGAATATATATGAATCATTTATATGTAATTATATATTCTACCGTGGTGGTCTTCCATTGGCCGATCCGAGGCACATCGAAAAAATGCATCATGGAGGTCCCCCAAAAACCGATCAAACCGAATCTACGCAATACCGACCCAACATGCTCTTCGCACTTTAGTGCTTGAGCATGGAGGGCTATGTACCGTGGTGGTCTCCCATTGGCCGACCCGAGACACATCGACAAAATGTACCATGGAGGTCCCCCAAAAACCGATCAAACCAAGCCTACGCAATACCGACCCAACATGCTCTTCGCACTTTAGTGCTTGAGCATGGAGGGCTATGTACCGTGGTGGTCTCCCATTGGCCGACCCGAGGCACATCGAAAAAATGCCGGCCCATAATAGGGGCCCAAATATGGGAAGATTCACTGGCTCACTCAGACAATCAATAAGATCTCACAATCTGTGAGAACGGTAATAAATACCGGGAGTTACGAGTCCACAATGGGACGTGATTTATGAGATCATAAAGAGGAGTGTGTGATTCATGTATGTAACGCTACACCATTATATATAGCAATGATTAGGTCTAAGAAAGTAGGTTACTTTCATCAAATGTTCTAGGTCAAGACTGCTGTCAAGTTCTTTTAGCTTGATATCGCTAAGGGTTCTTCGGCGGCAGTCTCCTATACCGGAACATATATATATATATATATATATATATATATATGTATGTGTGGGGCTTGAAGCCATATGGTGCTTGGCAGAAACCAAAGAAGGAATCAAACTAAGTTCGCCAGTTGAAGTATAATTAATTATTAAAATAGAAAGTGGTTGTATGGCAACAGTCTGTCAATACATAATTAATGAATCCCATAAGATATTGCAAGAATTATGGCCTACGATAGTTTTGAAGATTGTGTCGAGTTGGGTTTGGAATCTGTAGCGGAAGTGGAACGCGAGACTTCCCAAGTTGTCCTAACCTCACTGTTTCATGACTGAGTCTCCACAATCTTAATTCAAAACACTTTTCTTCTGACCATTTGATTCTTTGCATGATGTTGTCACTCTCTTCCACATCTTTCATTGTCCTTGCTTGCCTAACCTTTGTCCATTCCAAGCACCCTTCTCTTCCATCTATCTCTCCTTTCCAATTTATACTTTTACTTTTGAACCAGTATATATTATCATATATATACTTGGATGCTACCATATCCAAAACACGTATGACAAAAAGAGACACGTCACTTGTATGTTAAGTTTCTTGATCGATCTATTATAAGTTGTAACATTTTTTTATAATAAACTTTTATGCAAGTATATATTTCTTAAGAAATTATGAATTACATTAAAAAGATCTTTTTACTAGACAAACTACTGGTTATACGTACGTTGCCTTGCACTAATATATGGCTCTAATATTTCTGTCAGGTAAGTGGTTAAAAAAAAGGCAAAATCAAATTTAACCAACTCTAAACTAATATTCGTTGGTTCTTATCGCGGAAGCAAACAAACACTTAATCTAGGTTAAACTTAGATAAAAATAATAAATATTTCTACTACGCTAATTAATAAACATTATAAAAAGTAGAAAGTTTTGTAATTGATAATGTTTACGAGAGTTTGGTACGTGTTAGATTGTTGTGTTCCCCATTTGGTATACACATATTTATATGCAGGGTCCACTATGACTTCACTCCCTTTCTGCCATTCGTTGAATAAAAGCCTTTTTGATGTGGCCACGAAAAGGTACTGAAAATGACATTACCTTTGCTCCCCACCACCCCCTTTCATTTTTTTTAAAGAAGGGTGGCAAGCATAATCTGTGAGTAAATCAACCTCTTCCTAATTGGGTTCTTCCCTCCATTAGGGTGGTTTGGTGTCGTCCTATTCAAACCACGTTAAAGGTCAATATTATTACTCTCGTGTCATTGGCATCCAACATTGTGCAACCGCATCTAACATGCTAGTCATTGTTACTCCGAACAACGTATTTGCTTTATAATTATAGTACGTACCTCTAACATACCTTCCAATTTCATGACATATACGTTGGCCATGAATGCACCATGAGTTGAGAATAAGAATAAAGGAATTTGATATATTGTCGATGCTCGTGATAATTATGATTTGGTCTCAAAAATACATCTTAATGAATTAAAGAAATGATTTATTTGCAAACTATTTTTAATCTCAACTCTCAAGTATATTAGACTTTTTTACCATATTAAAATAAGTTCTTCCCGTTAAAATTAAGGGGAGACAATGATTTAGGTATTCCTTTTACTATTTTTAAAATCACTGTATTTGAGATATAACATTTATTGAACTGTCGTAATTTTATTATAAAAAAAATGTATGAGCGAGTTAAGAAAAAAAAGTGTCAATAAAATACCTTTGATTTCGATTCCGTTTATTACATTAGCTGAAGCTAAGCAACTGGGGAATATTTAATTCGTAGTGAAGTTGGAATCGGAAGTATAAACTCCTCGGCACTTTCAAAGACTGCATAGTTAGGTATTTTATTCACACGTGGCTGCCCTAAACCATAACACTGTCTCCCCTCTCAATTCTTTTCCTATTACACTAAAACACAAATACTAAAAAAAAAATTTCATATAATAATACAT